AGAAGCCCTGAAAGTCAGTCACAGACCCTGGCCAGAACCTTAACTCCACAGCCTAGTAAAAGCCACCATCTCCACTCCCATCATAGCAGAGAAGAGCCCCACAAAGATAGGACAGCAGGATGCTCTGTGACCAGGGAGGGTCTTTTGGACCCTTGTCTTTCTGGTGGTCCAGGCTCTGGTACAAAGCCAGTTTTCTGCTTGAGAAAACTGTTAAACGGTTTCACCAAGAATATTTCCTGGTTGCTGTCATAAGCGAAATTGGCTAACTAAACTTTCCCCTTAAAAAAGAGTATGTCTGAGCCAGGTGTGTTATCACAGGAGGCTGAGGCAGGAGGATCACTGTGTGAGGCCAGCCTGGGCTACACAGTGAGCTCAAGGCCAGTCTAAACTATATAATGAGACCCTGTCTCAAAAAACAAACAAACAAAAATTTGAGTACCAAAAATCTGTTTGGGTACACACAGGTTAAGATGGGAGTTTCTCCACACACAAATGACCTCAGTAAACATGCTCAAGCTTTGGCCTTCCATAAGAATTAGACCAGAATAAACAGCAATAATAAGAGCAATAGAATTATCTTTTTGGCTGGGTGTGGTGGGCATAGCAGCACCCATCTATAATCCCAGCACTCAGGAGACTGAGGCAGGAGCATCACTGAGAATTCAAGGCCAGCCTAGGCTTCATAGTGAGTTCACAGCCAGCCTGAACTACATAGCAAGACCCTGTCTCAAAAAAAAAAAGCACACCAATAAAAAGAAATTATTTTTAATATGCATTAATGTATCACAGAATCATTAAACTTTTCTTAAACTATACCAGCCCTATAGCCCCTCTTGGTTTTCATGAGAATACAACACGTACAATTAGAACATTAAGTACACTAACTGTTCATTTGGCTTATTGCTGAGCCCCCTATAGAAGGCAAGGCATGATGCTTCCTTGTAATTGTCTAAAATCCTACTCCTGGGATCAGGGAGATAGCTTTGTGTCCTATATGCCTGCCTGGCAACCGCAAGGTTCCAAGTTCGATCCCCAGTATTAAAAAAAAAAAAAAAAAAATCCTATTCCTTCTAACCCTCCTGCCAGTCATATCCCACTTTGGGTCAGTGGACAGTCACTGAAACCATATTCAAAATGTCCATAACTTTACGGGCTTCCATCCTGTCCCTGTTCAGCATTTCAGACAATATCTAATCCTTATGGTTCAAATAATAAAGCAGTCATACCCAAGCTCTCGAGACCTAGGGCCTTTTCTGAAACCCCTCTAGGCTCCATCAATGATGCAGTACCCTCTGCGCTTATGCCAGGTCCCCACTCAGAACCTCCCAGGACCCCCACACCTCCCTGGTGTTTATGCCCATCAGGCATAGATAGCCCTTTTCCTTCAGTCAGTTCCCCTGGCAAAAATAAAGGTTGTACCCACCACATTGCCAAGAAAGGTCTTTCCCACACCTGCCCTTGAGTGACAGTCAGCCCCACCTGCTACAGGCCAGTGCCACATGCCCAGCCCCTCATGTGTCAAAGGAAGAGGTACTTACCACCTCATCAGCTATGAAGTCTATGAACCCCGGGAGGATCAGGAAGTCACTGTGAAGACAGAAAGTGGGTGCTCCTGGTGGGCACGGGTGCCAGAAGGGACAGTGTACCGTGCCAGGGGAAGAGCATGGGGGATGGAAGGGGGACAGACTCTCTTCATCTGGTGTCTTGCTAACTCCAGTCCTGAGAACTGGAGATAAAGATGGCAGGAGGTCAGTGTACCTTGTCCCAGAAAGGTGCTTAGCGCAAAACTTCCATGGCCTTCAGGGCTCAGGGTTTGTCAAGGGAGAGAGAAGTCTCTATATGGCTGCACACAACACAACAGACAAGCGACTGCCCTTCAACACTTCTCGTCTTGATAAGGGCAGACAATGAGTGAATCCAGAAAACATGGGACCCGAAAATTATTTTGTCGCCCAACAAGGCATGACCATGACCCAGCACAGGACAAGCCAGCCAAGCCAGCCTGGATGCTGCTGAGTCACACAGGTTCAAAGCAGCATGTAAGGGCCCCAGGGGCCTGAGTACAGGGCAAGTTCTGACAGCACAGCCACCGTCAAGGGGCAACCAACAAACCAGACCCAGACAGGAAAGGGGAGCAATGAGGCATCACATGGGGACCAGCCAAAACATGGCAGCTGAGTATACTACAAGGGGCCATGATCACAGCGCAGTCCCAAAGTGGAGTCCAGGGCTGTATGGGTGGGTGTGGGTGCAGTGCTACAGCCCCAGGGCCCCAGGGGCTCAACCTGCTTAAAAATCACAGCAGGTTGACAGACACACCCCAAAAGCAAATGCCGTACACTCCAGGAAAACTATGCACCTGGCTAAGCAAAACAGTAGGTACCTCCAGTGCAGAAGAAAAGTCAAGAGTGGATGAGTGGGGTAGTTTCGATGCCTACATAATCTTCCAGGAACTCATGTAGAATGGAAAATACATCAAAGATCTACCCCCTCTCCCTCATCAAAGAATTTCAGCTGCCCCCACCCCTTGGCAGCCCTTCTGTATGCCAGGGAGGCCTTTGCAGCTCACTCAGGAGACCTGAGAAGAAATGCTGGAGTCTGAGCTTCTTGGTATTCTCTGGGTATTACATACTCCCCTGACCTAGAGCAGCAAGAGGGGACCCTCCCCAGCAGGGACATGGTGTCCTGGGCATAGGGAAACTGCCTGCTTAGCAAGAACACTTATAAGCCAGGGAACAGATGGAAGGAGAGGCCAGTGCCGTGGTTAGTTGGCCAGCATCCCCACTCTGCCCCTGCCCTGGGTTCAAATACTCCCTCCTGGCAGGGGCATAGTACTGCAGCCAGGAGGCACAGCTAATGCCAGACCTGCAGCAGGCAGGACAACTGGCCCAGGACCCACGGAAAAGGCAAACTGAGCCAGGGGCAGAGAGGTAGGTCTCTATGGCTCTTCAGAACCCCACAGGAAGGGCTTATGGGTGGCAATCACAGAATACTTACGCTGGGGTGGGGGCACCAGTGCCAACCTGTGGGCAGGAGGGGAAAAGTAGAAGACTAGACTGGAGAGTGGGGAAAAGGGGTCCTCCTGCGCTCTCAGGGGGCCTCTCCCGGGGACAACACACAGCAGCTGTCTGAACTGGGCCCCAGGAGCCCCCTGCTCTCCCAGGGAGGTAGAGAGCAGAAGATTGGCTTAGTCTCCCCAGAACTCCTACACCTAGCTTCCCCTTCAGCCCCCAGGCCCCTCCCGGGGGACCAAGACACCTCAGAGAGGAGGAAGGGGGCAGGCCACCTACAGATCCGGCCAGGGACAAGTCCGGGCACCAAGGCCCGCGAGGGCGCCGCGCCACGTCCATCTGCTCCAGTGCGGGCCTCCTTCCTTCCCTTGCCCAGCCCCCATCAGCCCCAAGTCACTCTTATTGGACCGGGTCCGGGGGCGTCAGCGGCGGGCGGCGGCGCACGTGCAGGGCCGGGCCGCCGCGGTGCAGGGATGCGCGCACCCAGGGGCGGCCGAGGCGAGCGCTTACTTGTAGGTGAGGCCGTCGGCGTTGGCGAAGAGCTGCTGCGCGGTGAGCCCGTCTTCCGGCACGTAGCCGGTGCCGCCGCTGATCAGGTAGTCCGCCATGCTGCCGGGAGACACGGTGATCCGACATAAACCCCCGCGCGGGCCACCCCGCTGCTCCCGCCGCTTCTGCTTCTGCTTCTGCTGACGCGCGCCAAGGCCACGCTGCCGCCGCGGGCCCAGGCGGGCGGGCCAGGGGCGGAGGCTGCGGCAGCGCGGGGACCGGCGCCGCCCTCTCCTCCCGCCCCGCCCTCGGGAATCGCTGCCTCCGCCCCGCCCCGCGCGCACAAAGGCCCTGCCGGGCCACCGCCGCGGCACGGCCCGCAGAGCTGAGCTGCTGGTGTCCGCACAGCCGTGCCACGGAGGGCGATGTGGAACTGGAGGAGGAGGGGACAGAGCCAGGCCGGGACACGCCCCCTCCCTATTCTCCACCCAAGGCCCTGGGCGGGGTACCCACTGCCAACCCCTATTCTCCACCCAAGGCCCTGCCAGGGTACCCACTGCCAACCCCAGGAGCAGCTGTAACGCGATTCTGCTGTCCCCTGATGCCAATCCTTGGTCCCTGACAAACTGCTCTGGGCTCGCAGCTCTATATAACACACAGGAGGTGTAAGTTAGACAGCGTCCTTTGACCCATGATCATTCCTAGGGATCAGGCATTTTTAACAGTGACACTCCTTTACCTTTGGGTGGCCTTAGAGCCCTCGGCAATCCGCAAAGCATTTTTCACAAATAACCACATTTACTGCACAATCCAGTAATTGCTAATTATTACCACACACACACACACACACACACACACACACACTGGACATTCGGTTTCAGAAGTGGCAAGTGTACAGCTTCTGATCATAGATTCAAAGATTCAGCCGGCTGTTCTACCCTCCTCAGTTCAGACACTACTGTGGAAACTAGGAATCTGGCCTCAGAAAGTTTGTTTTCATTTGGCAAGCATGACCAGGGAGGCTCACTAGCCTGTCTCAGACAAGTAAGTACACACAAATCAGAGGTTAGAAAACTTCTGAAAATTTCCCGCAGCCTAATCTGGCAGCCTTGAACAAGCAAGACCCATATCTCTACCTGAGGGCAGTCGGATTAGGCAGCCAGCAGAATGAGTCATGTGATGGACCATGTGGGGATAGCACCTTCTCTGCTATGACCAGAACTGCTAGTGCTGCTGCTTGACCAGACTCCACTGACCCCTCCTTGTGCTCTCGGCTCACTTCTGATGAGATGAGAGAATGAGGTGCACAAGGACACAGTCCTTTCCCTGGCAAAGGGGCTCACTGGGCCACAAGCAAGCTCCCTCCCAAACCCTGTGAGGCTGGGTTTGTTTACCTCGCAGCAGTGTGGTGGCAGCCAGGCCCAGGGGAGCCTGGGCTTCCAAGCCACCAGGCTCCTGGGATGCCCAACCTCCCAACGATGCCCCTGGGACCCTACCAGGAAAACAGACTGTTCTATCCATGCACAGAGGGAAAGGAAGGCTTCTCAAAGGCCCAGAGCACTGGAGGAGATTCACAGATATCCTCTTGTCTCTCGCTGGGATAGAAAGGGATGGAGACATCACAGATCCCCAAGCTTCCTTCCCAACAGTGGAGCCCGAAGGAAGGTTCCTGATAGGGGCCTCTCAAGCCACCAGGCATCAGAAAGGAGAGTTGCGACAGCCAGGGTTCCCAGTTCCCACAGAGAAAGCACCTGCCATTCTTTAGCACTCACCCTTGGAGCCTGAGCCATACTGAGAGAGCAAATCTGTGAAGGACCAGCACTAGGACCTCTCATTGGTCATCTAGTGCCAGAGAAAGCCCTGTGGCATCTCTGCCACAGAAAAGCAAGGCTACCATGCCACCTGCAGGCTCAGAAGATTGGCAGTCCCAGTGGTCTCTCCAGGTCTCTATACCCTGTAGCATGTGCTCAAGAATGACTAGGGTCCTCATCAGAGTTCCTCCAGGGCTGGGCCCAGGGAAAGCAGCAGAGTTCCACTATCTCAGGTGACCTTAATATGACATCTACCCCAATTTAAGACACTGGGCCCAGGGGAGGAGGTCCATTTATGGGGAGGGTCACCTTCCAGTGATTATACGTCACTGCCCCATCCCCCTCCAGCTTTGACCTGTGTCAGGCTCCTCATTACTCTAAGCTGCCGGGCTCAGCCCTGGGTTAGGCTGTCCATTTCCAGAGATTTAATCCACCCCATCCCCTCCTCCCTCTTCCTGATCTTCCCCAGCTGCTTCCTCCTCCATGGGGAGGAGACACCGAGGCAACCACTGAACTTCCTCAGCCCAAGAAAACACTGCTGGTCCCTTGAGAATCCCCATCTAGCAGCTTCAAGGTGGAGGGGCCAGGTCTAAACCCCTCCCTCAGCAGAACAGGGCAATAAGACCCCATCTAGTACTGAGGTCCGGGGAGGGTGCACAGAAGTCTTTTTCTGGTCTAGGGCTATTTTGAAGATTTCAAAACACTTTTAGGAGAGAAAAGGTAATACAAGAGGTGGTAGCTCACCCAACTTGTAGCCAAAGAGCAGTTACACCGGACTCAAACCTAGAACTTCTCGAGGAACCCCAGCGTCTCGCCTCAGCTCTGGGCTTGTGAAAGTAGACTGACCTTTAGCCAGCAGGTCTTGAATCTCACTCATTACATCACCTGGCTGCAGCTCAGGCTTCATACCCCCCTTGGAAGCCCCATGTGGGAAAGGCATGGCCCCTTGATACAGCACACATTCCCGGAGAAGGCATGCTCCTGAGGGTCCCTGGCCTGAATTCTAAAATAATGCTTTCTGCAATACCTGCTCTAAACAAGGCACTGCCACCATAGAGCACCCAAGGACCCCGGCCTTCTCCCTCCCCTACCATGACTCCTCCCTGTCACCTTGAGCCCTGAACACCAGCAGCTGGATTTCTAACAGGGGACAAAGGACACATGGATGAGGATTGCCTGAGCCTGAGTCAGTTCTAGAGAGGCACCCTGTATGTGAAGGAGGGGGAGGCGTCCTAGCCTGTAAGCCCTTAAAAGTTCTTACATAAGCAGTCAGGCAGAGCTACCAGGCTAATTCCCCCAGACCACCCTCCCTTCACCCCAAACCAACCCAGCTGCCAGGTCACCAGCAGATGGAGTACAGAAGAAAGCCCAAATCCTCTGCACTGGAAGAGCACTGGGATTGCATTTCAAAGTGCAGTACCATCCAGAGATTAGCCCACTGTCTCCTTTTCAGCCAGTTCCCTGGGGCTCCGCTCACAACCTCTTGCACAACCCAGCAGGGGACCCCGAGTCTAGGAGGTGCGGCAACCGCTACCCAACAGGACCTAGCTGCACAACGAAGAGGGGCAGTGTTTTCACCTGACCCTAGGCAGGCGCTCCGTCTGGATACCCACACTTCCTCGTAAGACTATGAAGAGAGTTCCACATGGAAACAGCTTAGGAGGAGGAAGCCAAGTTGGACAGACTCTATGGAGGACTGTTGGAGCCACCTAGACCAGGTGTCTTGGGGTGTTTAGTCAAGGTCCGCCAGCAATAAGATTACAGGGAGCGTTTTAACGATCTGCTCCCTCTCCCCTGCTCCCTGGAGCTTCGCGCAGTGCTGAATCCTTTCTTTGCACAGCGCGCGCCTGCATCCCCCAGCCAGAGCCGGTGCGAGGCTGCGGAACTGAATCTCGGGAAGTGAGGGGTGGAGGCGGTGCAGGAAAAGGGTGCGTGGACCTGCTCCGCCCCTGCCCCGCAGCGCCCGGGGTTCCTAGAGCCGCGCGCCCTCCTAGGCCGCCCGCCCCGGATGCGCCTCGCGCGCTCTGCCCTGGGCGTCACCTCTCGGGCTCGTAGCCGGCCTGCAGCAGACGGGCGCTGTACCGCTGCGCCGCCGTCTCGTGTCCCGGGTGTTGCCGAGCTCCGGGCTCCGGAACAGCGGCGGCTACGCCTCCCTGCAAAAGGAGCGGGAGCGGCCCCGACTCCGGGGACGAAGCGAGCGGCCCGTCCATGCGGAGGCCGCTGCTCAGGCCAGCCCGAGCCTCTCCGCCCGGAGGCTCCCTGGCCCCGGCTGGGCACCCGGCGCACCAGTCGGGTCTCAGCGGGGGGCGGGGCCCTGTGCGGGGGGCGGGGTTCGGGAGATGGGTGGGGGGATCCCAGAAGCGATGGGCTCCGCCCTTGGCACCGAGCTCTGTCCGGCCCCGCTGCGCAGCTCCTCCGACTCGGCCCTTCTCCTATCTCTGGACTGGCGTGGGTAGATCGGGTGGATGTCCTCCGAGGGTGGAAGTGGGGAGGACCCCCGCCCCTTCTCTGCCCTTCGGACTTCGCAGTTTCTCCGGACCCATACTGAGGAGAACCAGAAGAGGAAGGAAGCGCAGGGACAGGCGCTGCCCTGGAAGCCTGTGCGGGGCTTTCTGGTCTATAGACACCGGCGCGGCCCCTGCAGCGCCTCCCACCGGCCGGCGCTGACCTCCGGGGCCGTGGAGAGGTATGGACCGTGCCTCTGTCTCTGCCCACGCGACACATGGCATTTTAGAGGAAAAGAGGTTTCCTAGGTCCCTCACCCCTTGCTGAGAAAGGAACAGACCTTTGCCTTACAACGCTCAGAATACCCCAACAGGAAGTGAGGATGAGACTGCAGGTGCTCGAAAGAGTTTATGTCTGACTAGAAAAGCACCTTCTGTCCCGGCTACTAACCATCGTCAGCAAAGAGAGCGCCTTACAGAGATGGCAGAGGAAAGTCCCTGCCCTCGGGCAATTTATTTGGGGACCCAGAGTAGGCAAAAAAAAAAAAAAAAAAAAACCACAGCTGACAATTCTTACACTTTTCTTTTTTA